CTCCACCCCTGAAGATCATCATCATCGAGACCCCATCAGCAGCCCCTTCCCCGTCGCCAGTCTACCACCATCGCCACAACCCTCCGTCTCCAGACCTCCACGCCAAACAACCACCCTCGACACACCCCTTCGACATTCCAACCTTAGAGAGGACACAGAAAAACTTCATCTCCCTCCCAAAAAACAGAGCAAAAGTTGTTGTAAATACAGCCGCAAACGACCCTAAAAGGGAACTCTCTATTCTCTAAGAAATCAGCCGCAACAATACAAAGAGAACCCCAACCTAGACCTCTCTTCTTCATCTTCTTCAGCCATCAACACACCCAAAAAGACCACCCTAAACCGCCAGAACACTACCAACCAAACCAGCCGCAACGCCTAAAACTCAGAACCCCCACTTGAACTCTTTCTTCTTCGACAAAACAGAACCAACAAAAAGCTCCATCCCAGTCATTTCCATGGAGCCTGAGCTTCATAAATGGACGCACACACAGACATAAATGGATGGATTTCTGGGAGTTCGGAAAAAGAAACAGAATACACAGCGTAAAGGACAGAAACAAAATGAAATGAAAGGCGAGAGGTCCGAGTTCCTGCGAGTTTTGGTGTAATTCGAGTTTTCCAGCGAGATCCGAGTTCGTTGAGGGTCTACGGCAAGGTTATTTCAGTCCGCGCCCTGTTTTGATTTTCGATTTCTGGAATTTCTGTATGAGATTGTTTCAGTTTTTTTTAAGTTGTTGGATTGTGGATTTGAAAGGAATAAGATGATCTTGATTTTCAGATATTAGATTCTGGGAATGCCGATAGTAATAGACTGTAATAGCTTGAGTTATTTGAGCGTTCTATAGCATTTGGTTAACTAATTGGAAATTTTTTTGTTATTCTCGTTTAAAATGGAAAGGGGGGTTGGTTTTTGGGCCTCTCCGAGAGGTCAAATAGAGGGTGTTGTCTCGTTTGATGTTAGTGCAAGGTCTTCAAATGTAGATGATTCATTCAACAATGTTATGGAGATTATGAATCTTGATGCTTACACTAGATGGTGCACTAGCCCTAGTGCAGCAGAGCAGATGTTTGCCTCCTATGCAGCATCTTCGCAAATTAATTCCATGTCTCAAAGTTATGCACCGTTTGAAGGATTGAGTTACACAGAACAAAATACTGGAACATTTCTTCCAATGGATGCCAATATGGTGGGAAGTACTGTTTGTGGAGGAGAGAAAATGATGTTCGGGCAAAATGATGAGCAGTTGCATTTTGTGGTAGATTCAACTGATGAGGTCGGCTTGGTAGCTAAAAGAAGTAAAAATTCAAGCCAGCAGGCTGATGACGCTAATATTGGAAACTCTACGATCGTAAGGTCAGCCTTAATTTTATTTAGATTAAAACGGAACATCTTTAGACTATTGTAGTTAAGTACAATTCTTAAAAATGGATTGAGGTGTGCCATCCATCATTAGATCACCCATGGCCCTCACAAATATTATAACTTAGTTTAAAAATAAATGTTCGTAGTTTGCTTTAGGCACGTTTAATATATTATCGTGATTGTGTACACGTTCGCGTGACATAATTACGATCCTAAAAAACGAAATTGGAGTATGCGTTCGCGCAACTTCGACTAAACATTCTTAATAATAATAAAGCGTCACTAATCGTGGACACGTATGTGTGACATGATTTTTGACGCGCCAAACAAATGGGTACACGTGCGCGTGACCTGTTTTAAGATAATTTCTTAATTAAAAGAGGCAAATGCACATAGGTTCTAAAATGAGTAATTAGATAGTTTAACTAAGCCAAGTATGATCAAAGCGACCGTGCTAAAACCACGAAACTCGGGAGTGCCTAACACCTTCTCCCGGGTTAACAGAATTCCTTATCCGGATTTTTGTGTTCGCAGACCATAGATAAGAGTTAACTTCCTCGATTCGGGATTCTAAACCGGTGACTTGGGATACCATAAATTATCCCAAGTGGCGACTCTGAATTTAATATAAATAATCCTGTTTCGATTGTCACTTTAATTGGAATAACTCCCTTGTATATCCCTTTCGGGGGTAGGAAAAAGGAGGTGTGGCAGCACCTATGAACTGCGGGCCATTATCGCACACGATTTCTTTTGGAACTCCAAACCGACATATGATGTTTCGCAAATGAAATCCTGGACCTCTTTTTCTCGTACCTGTTTGAAGGCGTCTTCTTCCACCCACTTAGTAAAATAATCAGTGAGTACTAATAAAAATCGTACCTTGCCTTTGGCCTGTGGTAATAGCCCACGATATCCATCCCCCACTTCATAAAAGGCCACGATGCAACAACCGGATGTAATAATTCTGCTGGTCGATGTATGTTGTTACCATATCTTTGGTACTTGTCACATTTGGCCACAAAATTTTCTGCCTCTTCTTCTATTTTTGGCCAGTAATACCCTGCTCTAATTAAAGTTTTTACCAAGGACCTTCCTCCGGCATGATTCCCACAATGTCCTTCAAGTACTTATCTCATCACGTACTCCGTTTGAGAAGGTCCGAGACACCTTGATAGAGGGCCACCAAACATTTTTCGATATAGATTGCCTCGATCCAAACAGTAACGAGAAGCCTTTCGACGAAGTGCCTGAGCCTTTTTCTTATCCTCGGGTAGTATTCCGTAATGCAAAAGATTGACAATCTCGTTTCTCCAATCCCAAGTTAAATTACTGGAATTTACCTCATTTTTATCTTGGTCAAGTGCCGAATGAAACAAATGTATTACAGAAGCATTCTCTTCATTTGTCACTTCTGCAGCGGATGCAAGATTAGCTAACGCATCTGCTTCGACATTCTCGTCTCTTGGTATCTGCACGATTTTCCAAGTTTGGAATTGTCTTATCAAATCTCGTGCCTTTTCCAAATACTATTGCATCCTCGCCTCTCTAGCTATATATGTCCCCTACATTTGATTAACTACGAGTTGCGAGTCGCTTTTGATTATGACCTTCTCTATTCCGAGCTCTCGTGCCAATTCTAAACCTGCAATCACAACTTTATATTCTGCTTCATTAGTAGTAATAGGATGGCATTTTATGGCTTGTCGTATAGTCTCTCCTGTAGGTGGGATTAGGACAATGCCTTAACCCGCTCCTTTTACATTTGAAGAGTCATCGGTGAATAGGGTCCAAGTAGCTGGATTAGACCTGTTAAAGACCTGCAATTCTTTTTTCGCTTCTGTTACCATGCCTGGGCTAAAGTCTGCCACGAAATCTGCTAAAACTTGTGATTTTATTGCAGTTCTAGGTTGATATGTGATGTCATATTCACTTAGTTCTATAGACCATTTAGCTAACCTACCCGATAACTCTTGCTTATGCAATATATTACGTAGAGGATAAGCATTTACCAAGGAGATAGGATGACATTGAAAATAAGGCCTTAATTTTCTAGATGCCATAATTAATGCTAAAGCAAGTTTTTCTAGATGAGGATATCGAGTTTCAGCATCCAATAAAGTCTTGCTAACATAATAAATCGGAGATTGTTTACCTCTGTCCTCTCGAACAAATACGGCACTTACCGCCACTTCTGAAACAGCGAGGTAGATGAGCAGCTTTTCCCCATCCTTTGGTTTAGCCAACAAGGGTGGGTTTGACAAGTATGCTTTTAAATTTTTGAGCGCTTGTTGACATTCTTCAGTCCATTCAAATTGACTTTGCTTTTTCAAAACTGAAAAGAACTTAAAGCTTTTCTCCGAAGATTTAGAAATAAATCTTCCCAACGCTGCTATCCTACCTGTTAACCTCTGCACTTTTTTTTTGCTCGTGAGTATATCCGGTATTTCTTCAATAGCTTTAATCTACGCGGGATTTACTTTAATTCCACAGTTAGAAACAAGGAAACCTAAGAACTTACCTGACGACACGCCAAATGCACATTTCTTGGGATTTAACTTCCTATTGAATTTGCGAAGAATCTGAAACGTATCTGACAGATGTTGAATATGATCCCCTGCCTGTTGTGATTTGACTAGCATATCATCGATATAAACCTCCATGGTTTTTTCCAGATGTTCTTGAAACATCTTAGTTACTAACCTTTGGTACGCAGCTCCTACATTCTTTAGGCCAAAAGGCATAACTTTATAACATTCCTCTGTCTGTAATAAAGGAAGTTTTTTCTTCATCTGAAGGATCCATTTTTATTTGATTATACCCTAAATAGGCATCTAAAAAACTTAATAGTTCGTGTCCTGCAGTAGCATCAATTAGTTGATCTATGTGTGGTAGTGGAAAAGAATCTTTAGGGCAAGCTTTATTCAAATCAGTATAATCTACACAAACTCGCAACTTACCATTCTTTTTGGGCACCACTACAGTATTATCTAGCCAATTAGGATATTTTACCTCGCGGATAGACCCAATTTTTAAGAGCTTTTGTACCTCATCCTGAATCACCTGATTCTTGAAGGACCATTGCTTCCTTTTCTTCTGTTTGACAGGTGGATATGTTGGATCTTCATTCAGCTTATGGGTCATTACCTCCGGTGGTACACCTGTCATATCTCAATGCGACCAAGCAAAGAAATCTGCGTTAGCTTTTAAAAATTCAATTAACTTATTTTTCATCTCCGGGCTGAGGTTGGTTCCAATGTAGACTTTTCTGTACGGCCAATGTACAAATAATACCACAGCTTCCAGTTCCTCGATTGTTGTTTTGATGTTTTCATTTTCTTCTGGTTCTTGAATAGTATTAGGCCTTGAGTCTACATTTGTTTGTCCATCTACAGTTGAGGTTTGTGTTGCTAAATCCTCAACTGAAATTTGTAATTGCTATTTTTCATCTGCAACGTCGTTCTTCACGCTTGAATCTGCCACTGAGTTAATGCTTCGGGAAGCCTGTTGATCACTACGTATTTGTCTTATTCCACATTGTGAAGGGAATTTGATAATCTAATGTAAGGTAGACGGAACAACATCCATCTCGTGAATCCACGCTCTGCCGAGAATCATATTGTATGCCATGTCCATATCTATCACTTGAAATTTAGTATCTCTAACTACTCCTTCTGCGAATGTGGTGAGTATTATCTCCCCTTTTATTACAACGCTCGAGTTGTCAAAACCAGACAAGGCCCGTGCTTTGGGTACCAATTTATCATCGGGTTGCATCTCGTTTACCACTCTTAAAAGAATGATATTTACAGAACTACCTGAATCAATCAAAACTCGTTTTATGTTAGTATCATGTACAAGTAAAGATATTACCAGAGCATCATTATGTGGGTTCAACACAACATCTGCGTCTGCATCATCAAATGTTATACTATCTTCTTCCAAAACTTGACAAACTCGCTTCCCGTGGGTGACTGTGATTTTTGACACCTTCTTTGCTGTCGTATATGTTACGACGTTGACCTCCTCTCCTCCACTTATGACATTAACCGTTCTCTTCGGTGATGGAGGTTTCGATGGTTCCTGTCTATTCTTCGTATACGCTTGCTTACCCTTCTCACTAAACAATTCGGTTAAGTAACCTTGTTTTAATAGGTGCTCTACTTCACATTGCAGTAGTCTGCAATCTGCTGTTTTGTGACCGTGATTGCTGTGAAACTCGCACAAAAAATTGGGGTTTCTCCTGTTTGGGTTTGATCTCATTTCATTTGGCCACCGCACTCTATCTCCCATGCTTCTTAGAACAGCTACCAACTCGGACGTGCTAACTTTAAAACTATAACCTCCAAATTTTGCATTTGAACTTCCATCGTTGTCTCGCGTATCTCGCATATTTCGTTCCTTTCCGAACCGAGACGATGAACCCGAATCTCTATCCTTTGATCTGGAATCATACCTTGGGTTTTCTTGTTTCGAACGTGAATCCCTTCCTGCTGGTCCCATATAAGGTTCATACCTGTTCTTACCGGACCTTTTTTCAGTTGTGGTTGCCTTGAACTCACCCTTTCATCTCTCCAGGATTGAATGATAGTGTCTTCTTCTATCCGCAGCTTCGTGCTATACCTGTTGTAAGCATCATTCTAAGTTGTTGCGGGAAATTCTCGTAAGCTTTCTTTGAGTCTTCTCGTAGATTCCGAGCTTTTTTCATTTAAATTACTAGCAAATTCCATAGCCGCCCAATTGTCAGGTACACGTGGCAGGATTATCCTTTCACATTGGAACCTGTCTACGAATTCCCTGATTAACTCCGTATCTCCTTATTTTATTTTGAAAATGTCTTCCATTCTTTTTTCAACTTTTTGAGCTCCCGAGTGTGCTTTTATAAATGAATCTGCAAGCTCAGCAAAAGAATCAAGGGAATTTTCAGGTAAAAGAGAATACCATGTCAATGCTCCCTTCGTGAGGGTTTCACTGAATTTTTTGACCAATATTGATTCGATCTCTTGGTTGGTCAAGTTGTTGCCCTTCACACCAGTTGTAAATGCGGTTACGTGATCTCATGGATCAATTGTTCCATCATATTTTAGGATATCAGGCATCTTAAACTTTTTTGGAATAGGCAAAGGACCGGCACTTGGCTTCCAAGGTTGTTGAGAATATTTTTCCATATCTACTCCTTTGATTATAGGTGGCACACCAGGTTCTGCTCCTTGAGCTATTTCTGCAAAGTTAGTACTAAACTTTGTAAATCAGAATTAACTGGGATACCTGGCCCTCCATCGCGAGATTCGCTGGGTGTCCCTCCTCTGCCTGAATTAGCAAGTCCCGAGCGTGGATTCTCTATGGTTGCGGTGTTGTTTGGAGGTGGAGTTGGTGGTACAGTTGGCAGCCTATTGACAAAAGCTTGAAGAGTATTGTTGACCTGTTCGGCGATTAATATCTTCAATGTTGCGTCAATAGCTTGATCGTTCTCATGTTGGTCATTCATATTCGATTCAGATCTGTCAGGTGTCCCTTCTCAAGATTGTCGAGGAGAGTTTCGTGGTGAGGGGGTTGGAGTTCCATCTCCTTGTTTATTTTGTAGGTTTTGTTAGTTGTTGTCGTTGACGTTCGACATGATTTTTTGGCAGAAGAATTGATTTGGAAAGTAAAAAGATTATCAGATTTCCAGTAACGCAACCAATTTGTTTAACCAGAAAATAGGAATTTCGGTCAAAGCTTATTATTAGAAGTACACGGGTTACTGATAATCAAGAAAAGGAATATTTTTGCAATGAGAAAGGAGAATTAGAGTAAGAAATAGCAAAGCAATCAATATAAAGCAAAAGTAGATAAGTGTATTCCAGTAATAACCAGAACGTATCCATACAAATGACATTTTTCTTCCTTTTATAGCTATTTCTAGGTACAACGTCTCTTCTCTTTTGTAATCGAGTCATTATGAGCGTTTAGTGACACTAATGAAATGTTATAATTAGCAATCGTAACTGTTTCGTGAAGATTTTGTAACGGTTCTAATCATTCATGCTCATTAATTGAAGATTAATGAATCTATACTTTTTGCTGTCTTGATTCACTCCACCGGTGTCTCTTCAAATTACAAAGAGACTCGAGCAACCATTTCTTCTTTTCTCTTAGACGTTTTGCTCGTACCTATTAAAACTCGCATCTCTTTAAGTACTCTTCTCCAGCTGTCACTTTTCTAGTGATCCACTTGTCTTGCCATGTCTGCCACATAATTAATTCCACGTGTAATATTTATTTTCCCCAATACATCAGGCATTTTAAACTTTTTAGGAATTGGTAGAGGTGCTGCACTTGGCTTCCAGGGTTGTTGTGAATACTTGTCTATATCTACCCCTTTGATTGCAGGTGGTAAGCCTGGTATCTGCTCTATATGATCGTTCTGTTTTCAACTGTTTCTGCAAAGTTAGCACTAAGCTTTGTAAATTAGAATTATTTGGAGTACCTGAACCCCCATCACGGATTCATTAGGATTTTCTCCACTTCCAGAATTATCAAGCCCTAAACGCGGGTTTTCCAGAGTTGCCGTGTTAACAGCTGGAGGATTTTGCACCGCATTAGGTAATTCACTAACAAAAGCCTATAGCACATTATTCACGTGCTCCGCAATCAATTGCTTTAGAGCGTCTTGCTCCATAGTTTGGTCATTTCCTATCGATCATCAGCGCGAGAAGTGGACCTTGCAGGCGAACTTCCACGTGACTGTTGAGGGGATCCCGTTGGTGTGTAGTGTGATGGAGTTGCACCTTGTTGGTTCAGCTGGTTGTTGTCGTTAATGGTAGACATATTTTATTGTTAAAGATTGGAAAGTGAACAGATTATCAGATTCCCGGCAACGAAACCAATTTGTTTAACCAAAAATAGATTTCTCGGTCAAAGTTAATATTTAGAAGAAATCGGGTTACTGATAACCAAGACATACTTCACTTTCCCAATAATTTTGGAAGAATAGATCAAAGAATAGAAATGATTGACAAAGGAGAATAAGCAATGAACTAATAATAACTGCCCAAAATTAAGGCTTAAAGCTTGGAGAAATAAGCAAAGAATAATAGTGTAGATTTCAATAATAATCGTCACCTCCATTACAAATGAGACTTTTGTCCTTATATAGGAGCATACAACTATAAAGGTTCCCATTCTTAATTTGGGCTCACTAATGATATTAATTGTATTGATTTTCTGTTACCATATATTACCGTAATGGATACATTTATGACTAAAGATTCCTTGTACCTCTACCGATTTGCCTTCCTTGTTTACATTAAGTTCGTGTATCTTCCCTTCTTTGCAGCCTTCATTTATTTTGCTCATGTTTCTCCTTTCACAGCTGTCTGGCCTGGATCTTTCCTTAATGTAACCTCGTGGGTGTTTCTCTCGTGCCTTTTCTCCATTCTTTCATTCGTCTAATTAAGAGTGTCACTTGTCCTTACATTGATGTTCCATGTGTCATGCCCCGTCAACTTGTTGATAGTCCTCATGTCATGTCTTTTCTTTCTACCAATACAGCACATCCATCTCAACATCCTTATTTCTGCAACTTTCATCTTTTAGATATGAATATTCTTGACTGGCTGACACTCTGCCATACAATATGGCTGGTCTAACCACAGCTCTATAGAACTTGTCTTTAAGTTTCGGAGGCACTTTCTTATCACACAAGACGCCAAATGCTAGTCTCCATTCATCCACCCCACCCCTACACGGTGCGTGACATCCTCGTCAATCTCTTCATCCCCCTGGATAACCGACCCCAGGTACTTGAAGTTACCTTTCTTGGGGATAACTTGAGAGGCAAGCCTCACGTCCATATCTGTTTCTCTCGATCTACCACTGAACTTGCACTACACGTATTTTGTCTTAGTCCTGCTCAACTTGAAACCTTTAGACTTAAGTGTCCGTCTCCAAACCTATAGTTGTTACAATTCTAGATATCGTCTTTGTCCTTGTATAGCGGTATCATTGTACTCCAGCTCCATTCCTCTGGCATCTCCTTCGTCCTGAAAATAACATTAAACGGCCTAATTAGCCATTTCATTCCTGCTCTACCCACATACCTCCAAAATTCTACCAAAATTTTGTCTGGCCTGGTCGCTCTTCCCCTGCTCATCTTACACATAGCCCCACAACCTCCTCGACTTTAATGCGCCTATAGAGCTAAAATCTCGGTGACTGTCGGAGTGCTCCAATTCACATAACACAATGTCTTTGTCCTCGTCATTCAGCAACTTATGATAGTACGTCTGCCATATCCGCTTAATTTGAGCGTCTTCCATCAACACTCTGCCTTCCTCGTCCTTGATTTTTACCTCACTTGGTCTAGATCACGAGTCGTCATCTCTCTCACCTTGGCCAGCCGGAACAACTTTTTGTCCCCGCCTTTGTCCCATATTTCTTCGTATAGGCGACCAAATGCTGCATTCTTAGCTTCCGTGACCGCTACCTTCCTAGCTTTCTTATATCTATCTATGTTCGTCTGCCTCTCCTCCTCGTTTGTACTCTCCACTAACTTTCGGTACGCCGCTGTCTTTTCTTCCACCTTTCCCTGGACCTCGACGTTCCACTACTAGTCGCTTTTGTGACCACCCGAGTAATCCTTCGAGACCCCTAACACCTCTCCCGCCGCTTCCCTTATACAGTTCGCCGTCATTGTCCACATACCGCTTGCATCCACATTACTCCTCCAGACCCCTATAGCCAACAACCTCCCCTCCAGCTCCTGAGCTTTGTCCAAAGTCAAGGCGCGCCACCTAATCCTCGGATGACCCCGAACCACCTTATTCTTCCTCTTTATCATGATGACGACGTCCATCACCAAGAGCCTATGTTGGGTCGCGAGTTCCTCACTCGGAATAACCTTTCGATCCTTGCACAGCCCTCTATCACACCTCCTGAATAGGAGATAATCAATCTGAGTCTTAGCCATCGTACTCTTAAAAGTAATCAAATGCTCCTCCCTCTTCGAAAAACTGGAGTTCGAAATCAGCAAGTCAGAAGCCTTAGCGAAATCCAAAGAGAAGTGCCACCTCCGTTCCTAACCCCAAAGCCAAAGCCGCCATGCACCTCTCTATAGCCACACGCAGACGTCCTGATATGCCCGTTGAAATACCCTCCTATAAATAACATCTCCACGGGCGGAATACGACGCACCACTTCATCTAAATCCTCCCAGAACACCTCCTAATCTCCTAATCCAAGCCCGCTTGGGTAGCGTAAGCGCTAATGAAAATAAAGAAAACTGATAAGAAAGAAAAAGAAGGAAGAAAAAATGTAAGGATTTGCAAATCAATGAAATGGATCAGAATAGAAAAAGTAGAAACAAGAATATAATTGATATATATATATATATGTATATATATATATATATA